ACTACAAGGTCAACAGTTTGAACCCGTCAGCCATTCTTAAGGGTAAAAGGTGAGACAGTCCCAAAGTTGATGGTCTCAAACTCTAAGGAGCAGATCTGATCTCACTGTAGGGTGACTCTGAGGTGGATGGCTATGGGTTATGTGTAATGAGAATCTTTTCCTTGGGCACAAAGGCCATTTGCAGGTTTCTTTGGAAAAATGTCCATTCAGGTTCTTTGTCCATTTATTTTGTTTTTGTTTGAGTTGTAGGGATTCTTTTCATCTATTCTTGTGTTCATACTTTTGGCGTAATTTAAGAAAATCTATTGTCAAGAACAGATTTTCACACAGATACCCCCCCCCCACCTTTTTATTTTTGATTAGCTGAGGGTTGAATCTATCAGTGGTCTCACCCACTATTTGTCCTTTTGTGTTTTGGTTTACTTTACTTAGCATAATATCCTTCAAATTTATGTCCTCTAAGGTACTAGTCATCATTCTCTAAGATGTGCGGTACTCCGTTGTGTGTGTGCCAAAGTCTATTTTCCCCTTCTTCCACTGATGGTCATTTAGGTTGTTTGCATCTTCTGCCTTTTGTGAACAGTGTCCTGATGAACATGGTGTGCATGTGTCTGTTCATATTATCAAACACGAGGTCTGGACGTGTTTCCTTGTTTTCTTCTATGAGTTTTATGATTTTAGTTCTTATAATTAGCCCTTTAGTTCTCTCTTAGGTCATTGATCCAGTTTGAGTTAATTTTCAAATGTGTACGACTCCATGGTTAAGTTTGTCTGTTAACAGGAAGATCTGCAGTTTAAACGCACAAGCCGCTGCAGGAATCAGACTACGAAGCCCTAGTGATGCAATGGTCACGCATTTTGCTGCTAACCACAAGGTTGGCAGTTCAAAATTACCAGCCGCTCTGCAAGAGACTGATCGGGCTTTCTACTCTGCAAGGAGTTACAGGCTCAGAACCCCACGGGGGGGGCAGTTCTCCCATGTCCTACACGGTCACCAGGAGTCGGAACCAACTCAGTGACAGTGAGTTTGCTTTGTGGGTCTTCACTTCTGCAAAAATTTCAGCCTTAGCCCGTTCAGACAATTCTTCCCTCCCTTGGGTCTCTGTGAGTGGGAATCGTTTCAGTGGCAGTGAAGTTACGTGATGTAGGGGCTCAGCGACATTCTTTTCCCATGTGGAGGTCCAGTTGTCCTAGCACCGCTTGTTGGAAGAGACTATTTTCTTTGTCCGAAATCAAACGTGTGTGAGTTTATTTCTGGATTCTCAGTTCTGTGGAATATTCCATTCTTTTCTTTGTTTCTCTTTTTCATTCTGATGCGTGACAACCCCTATGTGTTACAGAACAGAAGAGCTTCATGGGATTTTCTTGACTGTAATCTTTATTCTCCTGACAGTCTCATTTATTTTGTTGTTGAGAATAGACATGCCAAGCCATCCACCAGTTCAAGTCTCCACATGTGTAAGTCCGCGGTCTTCTTTTTCTTTTTTTTTCACGCTTGAAAAGTTCTCTCCTGCCTTTAAGTCAGTGACATTCTTTTGAGTTGTTTATAACTTTCAGTTGGATTACATTCTTTGAGCTGTTTTCACTGTTTTTTTTTAATTGCCTCTTCCCAATTAACATAAACTCACTGCTCCTTAAGGTTCCAATCAAATCTGCTGAGCTATTGCTATCAGTTTGACACCATATACAAAATTCATCAAAGAGCATAAAGCTCAGTGGTTAGCTAAATGTTGATGAGCTTTAAGATGGCTTCAGGGGATACCTTTGTTTTATAGTTTAAAGATTATTTCAGGATAGTAGTTTCCTGGGCTCACCCAGAAAGTTTAGTCTCTGAGAATTAGAAATTTTATTCTGCATTCCCTCCCACCCACCCACCCACCTTTTTTTTTTAATCATGCTGTAAAGCAGAAAAGGGATGCTTAGGCTGACCAGAGCAAGAAAGAGGCTCAGGCTTCACACCTCTGAGAGCACAAAGGGGAACCACAGGACTGTCTCTTGTTACACTGTCTCTCCCTCCCCCCTCCCCTCTCCTCAATGTTTAAGGGAACTCAGGCTTGGTATTTAATGATGAGGAGAACGAGAGAAGCGTTACCAGGAATTTTGATCAGCATAAAATTCAACTCCGGCAGTAAACCCTAGACTTGCTTTTAATCAGTAGTTTACATCGTCTGAAGTGGATTCAGATACAGGAAATATGTTTTGTCTCTGGCAGTTTTTGTCTATGTCCCTCTCACCTGAAAATGACCACTAGCAATTTGATGTGCAACTTTTCTCTTGTGTTGTAAGACACATCCACAAAATGTTCACCTATGTAAGAATTGTCTTTATAGACTAGATTTGCCAAATAGACTAGATCAGTGTTTTCCAAAGTGGGTGATACTGGAACAACCCAGGGGGACTTCAAAAGCAGATACTTATACTTTATCTTGGAATATGGGCTATAGTACAAAACTATTTCATTGCTGGGTTCGGGGGGGGGGCGGTGCTGAGTAAATTATTATCTTTTTTTTTTCTTCCTGAAAAAGGGGCAGTAGGTCAAATAAGATGATTTCTACAGGACCTTGAGGCTAAAGCTATTTTTATAAAACTAAACTTGCCGCCATTGAGTTGATGCCAACTCCTGGTGACCCTATAGGACAGGGTAGAACTGCCCCTGTGAGTTTCTAAGACTGTAACTGTTATGGCAATAAAAAGCTTCATCTTTCTCCTGTGGAGCGGCAGGTAGTTTTGAACTGCTGACCTTGTGAATTGTAGTACAATTCATAACGACTATACCACCGTGGCTTCTTGAAACATTGAATTCCTTCTAATATGTAACAGGGACCACCCCCTTACTAGTGGGAATGTCAGTGATTCCAGAGTCAGCTGTCTTATTACGATTGTTGAAGGGGGAGCAGTGAAATCGGGGCAAGAGTGAGTCAGGTGGGACACAGGCTCTGTCCTGGCCTGTTTGACAGAATTAAAGTCAGTTGGGGAAATTAGAGTGTTTCAGGAGGAAAAGAAGACTAGAGCTGTAAATGTGTATTGTTTCCCTGTGTCTTTGCAATTTTCTATCCAATTAGCAGGAACTTCAAGACTTACTGTGTCTCATACCAGAGTGTAGACTCACAGCATCTAATGGGAACCCAACATGAAGCAGTCCTAGGGAACGGTTAAGCATTTGGCCATTAGCCAAAGGTATTGGAGGTGCAAATCCACCCATAGCCAACACAGAAGCAAGGCCTGGCAATCTGTTTCTGAACGACTTCAGCTGCTAAGATCCTTTGGGGTCTCCCTGCATCAGAATGGACTACCTGTTTTGTTTGTTTGGTTTTTTCCTTGCCTTTGAGGCATTCTGGGTATTGTACAAATTAGAATGCCATGCCAGTGAAGTTTTGCTGGTCAGCAACTGCTCTGTTTAGGGTGTGGGGCTGGGTGGAACAAGAGCCTGGAGAGTCGCTCCTGGAGAGCAACCTAAAGAACCTGGATCAAGGTAGAGTAGCAGCCTTGGGGCTTTTAATGGAGAGAGGGTCCAGGGTGAGGAAAACGAAGAATTCTTTTTATGAGGTGCCCCTTGACAGCCTGGTAATGGTCGGTCATCAAATGGGTGTGCTATCCTGAGAGAGATGAGGCTTGAACATTTTCAAGTCTAATAATAGATAAAGGGTTTTCAGTGCAGGTGTGACCAGAGGGAGAGGTGTTGTGGGAGCAAGCAGAGAGGCAGCTTAAAAGAACTGAGTGATGGTGAGAGAGAGATCCCCACTATAAAATGCCTGGCTGATAAAGAATGGTCACCAGAACCAAGACAGTCCCACTATAGAACTGATTCTTCCACGCATGCATGTAAATTTTGCTCTGAACTATTTCATGCTTATAAAAGGGCATGTGAATTACTGTTGTTAGGTGCCAAGTCATATACCACAGGGTAGAACGCTGCTCAGAATGCTTGTCAGTATGCATGCACCCATGTAAAAAAGAATAGACTATCAGCTCCCCAGATGTTTGTTTATATCTCTTTTCACAGGATTTCTCATCTCCTTGGATATTGAGCATATCAGTTCTTAAACACAATTGAGATTTTAAATTGAAAAAGTATCAATATCCAAGCTGACAGGTGGTTCATCTTTGGTTTGCACATGACTCTAAGAATTGTCTTTTAGCCCAAAGAGGAAGGAGGTTCATGATGAGCTGTGCACTGTGGGTTTTCTGTTATTTATTTTATTTTTAATTCTGGGAAGTAGATAAGCACTTTTCTGGTTTTCCTATCTGGAGAGACACAAGGACTCCGTCATTGGCCCTCAGCATGATCTTAATGTCCAGCCAGTGAGAGGACCCTGTGTGCCTCTTTTCCCCTCCCTGGGGAAAGGGGCAGATGTGCCACAGATCAGGGCAGGGAGTGAGGGTGTGCTGAGGTCTTGGAGTGACCTTTTAAGGAAGGGGCCATTAGACTGAACTTGAACTTGAGATTTAAAGAGTAACTTCAGACCAGGTATCTCTATGTAAACAAGACCGTCTTGTGAAAGTGATGGAAAGGTGTATGAATGCATTTAGCATGTCATTTAAAATAAAGGCATATTCTGGATTTTTTGTGTGGGGGTGGGGGGGGAGGCAGAACAGGGTGCATAAAGTAAAGTGATGTGACAGAACTGAGAATACAGAGAGGTATCTGACTCATTGTCACAGAGAACACCAAACCCACGGATTCAGACTCCTCGGATCTATAGGACAAGGGTCTCCAAGGCTCTCAGTTTTCACAGGGTCAACTCATCTCTCTGCCAAGGAACTCGAACCACTGAGCTTTCAGTTAATAGCTCAGAGCTCAAGCTGCTGTACCACCCAGGGTCCTTAGGGAAGAGTGGTTTATTTAAAAGTTTGTGAAATCTTTTTTTCTTTCTTTTGGTGGGGTGTGTGTGTGTGCGCAATGGGGGTGGGGAGGGGAAGATGGGAGGGTTGTCAGTTTATGAAATCTTAACGCAGAAAGAGATTTTTCTCTCAAAAGTGATGTTTCTGTTTCACTTAAGGTATCCAAGCCCACTCCTGGCATCAGTGACCGCCCCTAACCTGCCTGCTGCAGAAGATAACCTGGAGTATGTGCGGACTCTCTATGATTTTCTTGGGAATGATGCAGAAGACCTGCCCTTTAAGAAGGGCGAGATCCTCGTCATCATTGAGAAGCCTGAAGAACAGTGGTGGAGTGCCCGGAACAAGGATGGCCGGGTCGGCATGATCCCTGTCCCTTATGTCGAAAAGTTGGTGAGGTCTTCCCCACACGGGAAACACGGAAACCGGAATTCCAACAGTTACGGAATTCCAGAACCCGCCCATGCCTATGCTCAACCTCAGACCGCAACGCCTCTACCTGCGGTTCCCAGTACTCCTGGGGCAGCCATCAACCCTTTGCCATCCACACAGAATGGACCTGTCTTTGCAAAAGCAATCCAGAAAAGAGTGCCCTGTGCTTATGACAAGACCGCCTTGGCCTTAGAGGTAAAGTAAAGATGGCTTGTGGGGCTGCCCTTCGACATTTGGTTTTTAGTTCTAGTTGAGTTTTTACACAGTGATAGCTGCTCATTTCAGGTTATATTCACAGGGCTGTGACAACCAAGTGATCTAGGGAGATCACAGCATGCTTTTGTCATGAAGGGATTGCCTGATCCTTGGTTTTTCTTCCAGGCTCTCAGCCTTCTCTCTTTCCTTATTCCAAAGCATCAGAGAACCTCCTGCACAGTGGAACATCCACATTTTACCGTATATACTCGAGTATAAGCTGACCCAAATATCAGCCGAGGCACCTAATTTTAACACAAAACTGCGTTAAAAATGTTCTGGGAAACTCGGCTTATACACGAGTATATGCTGTAATATAGTTGACCCACAAACAATACAGCTTTGAACTGTGAAGGCCCACCTATCCTTGGATTTGTGTGTGTGTGTGTGTGTGTGTGATTTCAGGTAGTTTGGGTATCCACTGAGAACTCTGCACGAGCAGTTCATCTCGAGGAATGTGAGGGTTTGAGGTTATTGGGGTGACAGCCTGCTCACATGGAAAGGATGAGGACTACTCAGCAATGTCAGTTGAGATGAGCGCTTGAAAGTGAGCCCGTGCAGCACGTACCCACGTTTGAAAGCAAACTGTAGCTGCTTTTCATTCCAGCAATAGAAGATGGTTCAGAAGGACACAGGACCCAGAGGGAAATTCACATTAAAAAATAGCCACTTGTACACTTCTGCATTTCTAACTCTGTGACCAGTTGAAGTGAAACAGTATTGAATGGCTAGAATTTCTTTTCAGGTAGACAAAGAATAGGTGTAAAATAATAGCAGGCTTGGCTTATTAGAGGTTTTTTATGAATTATAATAGCATTTGAGAGACTTTGGTATTTCAATCTCTAAATCATTGTCCTATAGCTATGCATTAACTGACTTTAAAAAAAACAACAAAAAATAAACTTTCCAGAGATTAGCCTGTTACCATGGCATCCTGAAAGACAAACCAGTCCTAAAGATGAATGTTGGTGAACCTCTTGCTTATAAAAGCATGTTGATGTTTAGGGAGACATTTGCTAAGTTCAGGTGATCAGATACAAAGGACTCCATGGTAGCAAAGACTTGAAGGGGCAGGGATGACAGGAGCTGATAATAAACTGTAAAGTTGGGGTTTGTTTTACAGTTCTGAGTGCTAGAAGAATGTTCCATATGCTTTCTTTTTAACTGATGTTTTACTGAACTATGAAATGCACACAGTGAGGTGAGCCCTGGCTGTTATTGTTAAGAGTGTGGGGTTTTGTCCAAGATGTCCCAGCTCTGTCATTTCTTTCTCTTTTTTAATATTTAAATTTATTTATTATTATTATTATCATTTTTTAGTCATTTTATTAGGGACTCATACAACTCTTACACAATCCATACATACATCAGTTGTGTAAAACACATTTGTATATTCTTTGCCCTCATCATTCTCAAAACATTTGCTTACCACTTAAGCCCGTGGTATCAGCTCCTCATTTTTTTCCCTCCCTCCATGTTCCCCCCTCTCTGTCATTTCTCATGTCCCCCAAGAACAGTCACTTAACCTCTGAGCTCTCTGCCTTTACCTGTGAAGCGAATGTCTCTGTTTTGCCTTCTTAGCTGGCTATTGGGAAGGCCAAATGAAATTGCATTTATGGAAGTACTTTGTAAACCATACACTGTCGTGGAAGTGTCACTCAGTAGCAAACTTAATTTTCTTTCTGTGTAAATCACAGTGTCTGTATCTGAGGGTGAGTCAAAACGTATGGGCTCCAAGATCACAGAAACAGCCAAGGAAGTCACTGCTCCTTGACAGCCTCCATCTACAACTGTGCACTTTTGAAGATGGTGTTTCCATCTCGCTAACCTTTCCCCAAGGAATCATGTGTTCTTCAGTTTGCATTACATCAAAACAATGGTTTTGACATCTTTTAGGTACTCAAATCATGTTCCTTTGAAATGTCCTTTTGAGTTTAGGGAACAAAAAGCCACCTTCAGGGTCCAGATCAGGAATATAGAGTGGATAGGGTAAGCCCTTAGAGTGGATAGGGTAAGTGCTTGTTGCAAAGAACAATCAAGTGCGTTGCTATGATTGAGGGTGGGGGGTTGGAGAGGACCCATGGTGCAACTTTACTGGCCGTTTATCTCACCCCTGCAATTTTCTGTTTTCTTAAAACAAGCCTCTGATCACCCCTTGATAGATCAAGAAAATCCATCAAAGTGTGACCCCTTTGCCATAACCTTTTGAGCTGATCTCTCTACCATGATTTTAACTGGCCTCAGAGATCCCCTAAGGAGGAGCTCTGGTGGCATAGTGGGGTGTTTATACGTTGGGCTGCTAACCACAAGGTTGGCAGTTTGAACCCTCGTGTGACAGAAACTCAGATGAGGTTGGTGACTGTTTGACTGTTCAGTCAGAGATAGGGAGATTGCGAGATAACCCAGGTCCATCCAGAAGGTTGATGTAACTAATGCTGTTGTTTTCAAAGAGCAAACCTCACCCACAGGACAGGCAGCCTGACCACCAAGAGGGCAGCTGTGGTTTATTCTTTGTGGGGCTCCCCTCTGGTTGTCTTTAAGCCTGAGGTAAACTGCCTATGTGGTTTCACTTGAAGGTCTGTCACAGAGTCTGCAGTTGCCCACCTTCTTGCCCCCCACACAAGCACCCCCCAGTCTACACCTCAGTACTGTCAAACAGCTTGGGTACTCTGGACTCTTGGGACTCTCCGATTTACACAGTGGGTTCCAGCTTTCAGGGTTATGAGTTGGGCTACTAACCACCACAAGATCATCAGTTTGAAACCACCAGAAATATAAAGGTTTTTCTACTCCTATGAAGAGTTACAATCTTGGAAACACACTGGCAGTTCCATCTCTTGTTCTATAAGGTCACTATGAATCACAATCAGCTTGATGGCAGTTTTTCTCCAAAATTTTCCAGCCTTTAGCTGATATCTGCCACCTCAGTGCAGGGTGGGCACTAGGGTGGCTGAACCAGGGTTGGAATGACTTGCATGTCATAACTAACTGACTATTTATAACTACCTCTTATATAACTAGTCATAACTCACTCTGACACAATCATGTCAGAGCAACAGCAAGCATCTTGGGTCCGTCCCCCCCCCCCCCAAGTCAGGATATCTGGAATGGAGTTATCATTGGAGTCTCACTGCCATCAAGTCCATGCCAGCTCGTATCGACCCTGCAGGACAGGACACAGCTGCTCCTGTGGGTTTCCAAGACTAACTCTTTACAGGAGTAAAAAGCCTCATCTTTCTCCCACGGAGTGTCTAGTGGTAGTCAGGTTTAAAACCAGACTCCATTGAGGGCTCTTGTCTGCAGATTCTAGCTCTGTAGTGTGTGTTGGGAAACTCCTGTCTTCTGGGTGGGGTCTGGGGAGTGCACAGAAGGCCCTGAGTTTCTGTAGCAGAGCCACTTAAAGGCCTGAAGGTGCTCAAGAGGACACTGACTTGGGCATTTTCTCTCATTAAACCCCAGGGGATGTCACACCCAGAGCTTTGTTGTGATGCCAACCCATCTATCTGAATCTCACCAGAGACGTTTAGCTCACAGAGTGAGGATGGGGCCCAAGAGGTAGACCTGGGCTCCACTCCTCTCACTGGCCTTCTTTAGTCTGTGTATGTAGGTGGACTTTTGACTAGCGTAGGTAAGTGGTTCAGCACTCTGAGTCTATTTATCTTCTAAAACTGCTAGAACACCGCCAACTGTCGGATCATGTTAAAAACAACTCTTCCTCATGGGACTATTGCAATTAGGTTACCAAGGAAAGTATTCTAATTAAAATGAGAAACAGTGAAACAAGTAGAACAAAATGTGCCAGTAACAAGGCCCCTGGACAGTAGTACATAGGAGGTTTGTGCCTTGAAATTGTTTGACAAGTTGCTTTGTTGTCTTCATAAAATCTGATTGTCTAAGGGACATTCCTGCAAGTGAAGAGAGAATTTAAAATAGGTCTGCGTTGAGTTATTATTCTTTCTCGTTCACATCTCTTCTCTCAGAAGTGAGAAGACAGGGAACTCTGGTTATGTGAATCGTAATGAGTGATAATGCATGTCCCCATACCCAGAGAATAGCACAGCTCTCCTTGTTCCTGGTGCCTGGCCTGTGAGGGCCATGTGGAACAAGTTGCCCCCAACAGAACATTCTCAGGTTCAGGGAGGCAAGGTAGCTCTTTTCAAAAATAGGTCCTTGACCAGAAGAGATTGTTTGAAGCAGAGCAGACCAGAAGAGAGTCATGACAATAGCACATGGAGTCAGAGTTGCATTCTGTGACACTGTGGAGACATGGTGTGATTCCAGAAAGATAATGGGCCTGCCGTCAAGTCTTACCTTTTTACATCCTGGCTCTGAAAGTTGCTGAGAATTTGTTTATCGCCCATTCCCACAGCCTTCCTGGGTGTGCCCTGTTGCGTCCTGCTCCCCAGGAGTTTGGCCATAAAAGAAAGAGTAAACAAAGACAAGCTGTTGTGAGTGCTGTGACCACAGAGGTTAGGAGAAATGATAAGGGAGTTGTTGATGACAGTAGGTGGGCACTGCAGATCAAGAAAGCTGGGAGGAGGTAACCCGTGAACTGAGTCTTAAAAAATGAACAGAAGTTAGCTTAGTGAAGTGGGAGAAGGTAATGCTGTCAGAGAGAAGGTTGTGTGAATGAGACAACACCCATGCACTGCTGCAGGAAAATAAGAGCACTGGGCATGTTGGACACAGAGCGAGAGATGGTGGGCTGCCACAATCTGCAAAAGGACTAAGAGGAATTTACCAGCTCGATTCATTGGGAACATGGAACCTGCCTTGTCCCATAAGCAGTGGATTTTTAAATCATTTAGAACATCTTTTTCATTCTCCCTCTAACAACATTTTCATAACACTTGAATTCCAGTACACGTTCTCGACTGGAAAGGGGAGGGAGGAAATTTCTTAGCACCTTCTGAATGGTGCTTACCCCTGGATACACATAGTCATGAGTATTTGATGTTTGAAAATGGTACTCTGTGGAGCTGCAGTTGAACACTTCCCTAGAATGGGTTAAGAAGACATTTGGAGATGTTTTGGAGGCTGGGGGTAGTGGTGGGGATACCTAGGGTGGGTGGAGGACCAGAGTTCCTGTGAAATATATTGTGGGGGAAAAGAATAAGTTCTCAGGTTGCAAGTGAGGCTTGAATCGATTTAGGGTGGAATTGCTATAAATCTAAGGGCAAGACAAGCTGTAAGGATAAGCTGGGGCATTTCATCAGGCCATCTTTGCAATGCTCTTAGCTTTTTGTGGTGTCTAAATCCATTGGGCCTCCTCTCTCAACTTGGGCAGCTCCAGAAACATGTCTCTGATCTTGCTTGCGTGGCTGGTAGGTCGGGGCTGAGGATACAGCAGTGAACAAAACAAAGGCTTCAGACCTTGGGGGCCTCTGATGCATGCCCCTAAGAAGGCAGTGCTTACCATGTTGGATGGCTCAGGTGTTTAACATTGTTAGTTTACAGAAAGTGCACCTACATATGAGGGGCTTCAAAAAGTCTGTGGGAAGATGCCATTCTCTCAATTCCATTTTCCCACAAACTTTTTGAAGCTCCCCCTCCTGCCTCTTCTCTCTCCTCACCAGTTTCCTCTTTTGACATTTGTTACATTTGATAAGCCGCTAGGGACATAGTCTCAGCATCGTGAATTAAGATACTTGTTTTTCAGGGGACCACCCCCCACCCCACCCCCGTCTCTTTTCAGTCTCTTCACAGAGCAGAAGTTCTTGCGTTTAGTGAAGAACTGTTCTTTCATCGGTCATGCTTTTGATAATGTATCATTCTGGTTCAAGGATTAAAGAGTGTTTTAGGGCAGTAGTCTTGGGGTTTTTTCCAGTCTCCATGGTTCCATAATCCGTCTTATTATGGCCCTGAACAGAATGTAGCTGTAGATGGGCACCATCTAGTTATTTTGTTCTCAAGGTAGAGGAAGCCATGGTTCCTAGAGACATTTCATCCTGTAGAACAGTTCCTTCTCTGATTCTTGGATTTCTTTCTGTCTTGTTGCAGATAAATAAAGAGCAGTAGTGTCTGAAATGGCCACTTCCACACTTTCAGACCCCTGGGACATTAATCACCAAATGAAAATGTAGAACATAAACTTTATGAACTAATTAATTATGTCAGTTGATTGAATTGTCCCCAAAGACTATAACCCTGAGTTTTCAAACCAAGAAAAGAAATCTCATGGAGTACTTGATTATGTTTAAAAAATAACAGCATTTGCAGCCTTGAATATATGAGGGGACTACAGAAGGTTCAGGGACAATGAAAAAAGATTGTGGAATTTTCCCAGGAATTTTTTGATGTTCCTTAGTAAGTATTTCTTTTAAAAGTGTAATGTTTAAGGCAGACTTCTTTACTGTTTAAGCTAAATAGTTGTTTGGTTTAAAGAAGACTTGGGGCATATTTTTGGCTTAGGTTTTAAAGATGAACTCAAGGCAATAGTTTCAGAGGTTCATTTAGGGGTTCACCATGGTTCCAGAAAGTTTGGGCTCCATGAGAATTTGAAATTCTGTTTTGTTTTTCCTCCTTTTTGTTGTGGATTCTCCTATAGATTTTTAAAAAATCACTTTATTGGGGGCTCGCACAACTTGCCACAGTCCTCACATGCATCATTGTGTCAGCACATTTGTACATTTGTTGCCGTCATCATTTTCAAAACATTTTATTTCTCCTTGAACCCGTGGTATCAGCTCCTCTTTTTTTTCCCCCTCCCCCACCCTCCTTCCCTCATGGACCCTTGATAATTTACAAATTATTATTATTTTTTCATGTCTTATACTGACCGATGTTTCCCTTCACCCACTTTAATGTTGTCTGTCCCCCAAGGAGGAGGTTATATGTAGATCATTGTGATCGGTTCCCTCTCTCTCCCCCCACCTTCCACTTCCCCTCCTGCTATCGCTACTCTCAATATTGTCCTGAGGGGTTTATCTGCCCTGGATTCACTGTGTTTCCGGTTCTTATCTGTACCCATGTACATGCTCTGGTCTAGCCAGATTTGTAAGATAGAATTGGGATCATGATAGTGGTGAGGAGGAAGCATTAAAGAACTGGAGGAAAGTTGTGTGTTTCATCATTGCTATACTGCACCCTTGTTGGCTCATCTCCACTCCACACACAACCCTCATTCACAATGATATGATTTTTTTTTTGTTCTTTGATGCCTGATATCTGATCCCATTGACGCCTCGTGATCACACAGGCTGGTGTGCTTCTTCCATGTGGGCTTTGTTACTTTTCAGCTAGATGGCTGCTTGTTTATCTTCAAGCCGTTAAAACCCCAGACTCTATATCTTGATAGCCAGGCACCATCAGCTTTCTTCACCACATTTGCTTATGTACCCACTTTGTCCTCAGCGATTATGTTGGGAAGGTGAGCATGGGGGAATGCCAGTTTAATAGAACAAATTGTTCTTGCACTAAGGGAGTACTTTGAGAAGAGGCCCAGTGTCCGCCTGCTACCTTAATACTTAACAAGTAAATACATGTACATAAATCGATTTCCCTATCATTATATATAAATATATTTACATATGCATATGCCTGTATTTAGACCTCTATAAATGCCCTTTGCCTCCTGGCTCTTTCCTCTATTTCCTTTTACTTTCCTCTTGCCCTGCTATCATGTTCAGCCTTCATTTGGATTTCAGTAATTCCTCTCAGTTACATTGCCCTTGATCAAGCCCTACCAGACATCCTATGCCCTCCTCGCCATCGATTTTAGATCACTTGTTTGTTCCCTTGTCCTGGGTTTGTTAACACCCACTTCCTCCCCCCACCCCCCCTCGCCTCCCCCTCCCATGTTCCCCCAGAACCGTTGGTCCTGTTGTTTTCTCCTCCAGGTTGTTTATCCCACCTATTTTATCTAGATAGACATGCAGAGACAATAATAAGCACACACAAAAAAAGAGCAAAGCAACAGAAACAACAACAAAAACTGACAACAACAACAAAAAGCCTATAAATAGTTCAAGGCCTATTTGTTGACCTTTATGAGTGTTTTCTGGTTGAGTCTGATGGGGTGCCACGGCCTGGCCCCAAAGTCTATTTTTGGTAGTCCCCATTGCTTTGCTCCCCTTGCTGCTCTGTTGCACGCCCTTAGCGTTTCAGCTCCGACTGGTGGAGTGGGGTCAGATGGGGCACAATTCCTGCACTGTGCCTCCAGTGTTATCCCTCAAAGCGCTATGGGTCAGTGAGGTATGTTGGGTCTTGTGGTGGGGCCAGCCTTCTGGTCATCTCTGTGCATTGGCTGCTCTGAGCAAGAATATTGTTCTCAGGGCTTGGTGGGGCAGGCACCCTCTCTTTTTCCATTTTCGTTTGCCCCTATAGATTTTTATGATCCACACATTCAGTAATTTTGGCCAGGCACCATTCCTATAAAGAGTTACCTACCGTCTTGGAATTCCACAGTTGCTGCTCTGCTCTGTCTTTCCTATAGGGTTGCTGTAAGTTGGCATTGACTCGATGGCAGTGAGTTCGATTTGTTTTTACAGTTACAAGTAGATGCAAAAAGCTGCACAGAGCAGGGAAGATGGGCAGCAGATTGGAGATGGTAGCACACGTGGCAGGTCTCTGTGACAGCAGTACCTTCTTATGCAGAGTGAACCATCATCAGCGAGTCAGATGTCCCTTTCCATCCTGTAGACATGAACAGCTAATATGAGGGAGAAAGAGGAGAAGGCTGCTATGCTTACCATCAGAGGTGTCATCGGTGAGCTCGGCTTTCCATCTGAGCACTGTCGGGGCGGGAACGATAGACCCGACAAAAAATAGTTTCTCGGTGCCTGTACCCTCGTATGAACTGGCTTTTCATTTTCTTGGCAGAAACAGTGCTAACTGTCCTCTCTCTCCATCCCTGCAGGTTGGTGACATCGTGAAGGTCACAAGGATGAATATAAATGGCCAGTGGGAAGGCGAGGTGAATGGGCGCAAAGGGCTCTTCCCCTTTACGCATGTCAAGATCTTTGACCCTCAAAACCCAGACGAGAATGAATGATGGCCTCTGCCTGTTCCAGTTGCTTCATGTTCTGCCTGTCACAGTCTCCTTCCAAGTGGGAACACCTCCTCTCATGGGCCCGCCCCACTGCATCGCAACGCCCTTCCCTGCTCTCTGCAGATGGGCACTCTCTCTCTCTCTCTCTCTCATCTGGAATGCACACAGCAGGCTGCTGCCTCCTGGTATTTGTATAATAGTACTGTCAACAAGTAGCCGATTTTAGAGTTCTTTTGGATCAGAAACTGGAAATCCGAGTGGAAGCGCACAGAAGTGAAGGGGTGTTGACAAGGAGAGGGTCTCCCTCTCCTGATGGTACTGTGACTGATGCTCTCGAGTCTGGCGGGGGACATTTGAATGTGGGGTCCACCAAATGGACCCAGCTGCCGTCATCTTGTCCCTTTGATAAACAGAGGACGTTTAACTTGAAAGAAGAGAAGATTTTGACCTAAGCTCCCCAAATCTGGCTTGGTTTTGCTTTTGGTTTGGTTTGGGAAGACCGATTAGTTAGATGTGTGTGTGTGTATGTGTGTGTGTGTGTGTGTGTGTGTGTGTTCTAAACAGGCAGAGAAGCAGCATGTTGGGTTTTCAGGACATCACAAAGGATGCCATGTGCCTCCAAGCTTCCAGAGAGACTACTGTAACTCGGGTTGAGGGGAGGGGGCTGCTGCAGCGGGGCCTGGGCTTCACTGTCCTGGTGGTGCCATCGCACTTCCTTCTGACACCTAGCAAACCATAACCAACCAGAACCCATAACATGGCATGCAGTGTGTGTGCACAGCCTCTTGGATTACTGCATTGTCCTCAAAATCCTCGATAGGGGAAACGGTTTCTTACTTTGCTGGGGGCTGAGTCCTTGTTTATCACAAGTAAGGCGGTTTCCTGCCCCGCTTTGCAGTGGATGCCTTTCTTTAAGGTCTGGAGTTTAACATTTCTTTGGAGAGTAAAGTGGTTTGTAGGATTGTTGCATTTGTTTTAGCTCTCTGAGGTCTGCCAGGCTGGGCGCTGCTGTTGCTGCTGCTGCTGCTGCTGCTCCTGGCTCCTGAGTCTTAACATCCACTACGTTCTCAGGTCAGCGGGAAAGCATGTTCTGGAGGTCAGCCAATGCCTTTGACATTAACACGTTGTAGTGACTGGAGCGAACCCTTAACTCATCTGCCAGCTTGGTAGTAAACTTTACCCTGTTGGCTTACACCTACCAGCGAGTACAGATGCATGCCCAAGTCTAGTGCACAAAACAGACAAAGGGTCCGGACCGACCGTTCCCTCCCAACCACTCCGCAGAGTCACACCAACCTACGGAGAGGTTACTCAGTGCTGTTTGCTGACTTGAGACTGGCACCACAGCCCTGTCACTTAGAGGGGTTGGCAGTGTTGACCATATGCTGGTGACAGAACCGCCAAGCAGCTGTTCTTCCATTTCTCTCTGCAGCAGTTTCTCATCAAGCTACAGCAAAGACTCCTGAACGTGCACCTGTGACAAAACTCATGGTTCATTGGGAAAAGAATCACCTTGGCCATGGATATCCTGGAAAACAGCAATCAACCCTCCCTGTCCAATGGGAACTAGGGCTGCCTTCTGCTCTGATGGTGCCTGCCTGTGACACATCTCCCTGTGAGCCCACCCAACGAACTTGCTCGCCCACCATGTCGGCCTTGAGCGGGCTCCACTCCACCCTTGGCAGTATCTGTTCCATAGAAGGCAGAAGATGCTGCTTTGTTCAAAGAGGGCACAAGCCCTCAGGTTGTTTGAAACCACATTGTGCCGAGGGGCTTAGCGTGCGCAAGCTTGGGCACTGCCATCTCCGTGTGCAGGAAATGCTAGCGTTCCTTTCAGCCTTGTCGGCAGTACCCACCTCACGTGGAGCCCTTCAGAGCCCACCCCCTTTCTAATGTAGGGTCAGCCCCAAAGCGAGTCAGTTCGGGGCTCTCACCCACAAGAGCCTCTCCAGAACCACCCACAGGTCTCAGCCCAAACCAGGTATCTGTGCCAAAAGGAGGGGCTTCTGATTGGGTACCCGCCGTCTTACTCAGGCCAGGAGATCTGCTTTCTTCTTCACCTCCACTCCACCCTGATTGGAAGAGCGGCAGTGTGCCCAGGTCCCCTGCCTGCCTGGAGTTGCCACCTGCACCTCGCAACGCAGTGCCACCTGGGGGCTGTCTTGTGACTGGTCACTGCTCTTTCCTCTGCTCCACTGTGCGTCACTTAAGAGATGAGTGTGACTGTTGATTTTTTTTTTTTTTAACTTGGGAAGAAAACAAATCATGGACTTAAAGGGCCTTGATCATTTGAATCAAAACTTGCTTCCCCTGGGAAGGGCCCCTCCCACGGGAGCCATCTGGGTTGCTTCTGAGCTGGGTGGTCTCACCATGTGGCACAAACCACGAGAAGGACCCACTACTTGACCCATTGGGGATCCCAGAATGGACCCCTGCTGTGCCCGGAGCCAGTGCGCTGACTCACAGGAAAGGACAGCTGGAGCCCAAGCACCCACCCAACATGGCACTGCACAGCTGTTTACAGACAGGATGGGCCCCAGGCCACTGCCCTTGTCACATTGGCTCAGAGGAATATGAACATCTGTTTGTGAAAAGGGATGCCGTGTCTTTGTGCCAGGTGTTTATAATTTAACCCTTTAACAGTATGTTCATTAACCTCTTCAGATGAGTGACTTCTCAAGTGTTTTAATCCAAGACCTCAGACTAATGCTTCTGTGGACTACACTGAGCTCTTCCTCAGGGTCCACCCTCGGGGACTGGAGAGCCAGGTCCCTGGTAACTGCTGTCAGTGTGGCCACTGAGCTGGTGGAGCAGAGGCGGTTCCCGGGGACAGGAGGCGCCGTGGCCTTGCTTCTGAGACGATCTTCACTGTGTGTTCTCAACCAACACCATCATCGCACCACAAAACCCTTTGACCTGTAACTTAAAAGATCAGCAACTTCAGGCAATAATATTTTCTGTGTTAAGCTGTTAAAATTATTTTTGAGGATCATAGCTTGTTTTATTTTGTGCTATAAGATTAACAGTATTAAATGACTTATATTCTTAGAATCCATCGAGTGTCTTCTTCTTAACAGTTCAGTGCCTTTTTATTTTTGTATTCCATTTTGCGTTACTGGTCCTGGCGCCAAGACCCTTGTTTCCCATGGCCTGTTTGTACGTTGTCTCAATAAAACTCACATCCGCCGGCGGTGGCGATGGCAGCGCCTGTGGTGTTTCCGTGTCTGCACAGTGCTCCCAGCAGTCCCCAGCTCCAGCGTCTCCCAAGCTTTGGCCAGCCCTGGGACCACTGGTGTTTCTCAGAGGATGGGGCTGTGTGGCCCCTTCTGTCACTCAGGCACCCAAAGGACCACATACTGCCTCCTTAGGTAAGAAAGAGCAGCTGGTTTCAAGCTCCCTGGGTGCGGTGGCTGCTCCAGGGGAGCCTGGCACTCAGCCTTGGCCTTCAGGGGCTTGAGGATGAAGCCCTAGTGCCCACATGTTGCATCATCAAGGAGAATTTAGGATTTCTTCTTCCCAACCCCCCCGCCTTCGAGCCGATTCTAATTCGTAACACAGAGAAGGTTTTTGAAGCCACCTCGTCTTTCTCCTGAGGAGTGGCTGGTGGGTTTGAACTGCATGTCTTCCTTAATAGTCCGATTGATGGGAAGTCATGGGCATGTGGGCCACATCCCAGGTTAGGTTAGGGGGTGGCATCTGTTGATTTACATAATCTGAGTCGGGCTTTCAAAAAGTTGCTGGAAAAATTCCATTTAACTTTTACTTGCATTTGTCCAGGAACTTTCTGAAGCCCTTTTACTGGATGCCCTTTTACTGAATTCTGGATGGCCCTCTAGTGGACTTTGCTTGAGAGGGTCCTGGGGAGGCCTGCTGGGTGTCTCATACTTATCCAGAGCCCTTGCCTCCTGCCCCCAGCCCTCCACACATGTCTGATCTCACCAGTACCTGTTTCACACCTATGTGTGCTGATAGGGCCAAGTGTTGTGGAAGCTTAAACCTTAGGAGCATCAGGGTGATCTTGAATTTGAAAGAGCACTTGGATATGAAAATCTGTGTGTGGGGGACGGGGCGGGGTGGGGGGTGGGGTGAGTGACCTGAGGCAAACCCAGGCTCGGCCAGTCTCTGGAATGGGGGGTCTGTTTGCAGGGACCCGAGGGAGAGAGAACTTCCCCAGAGATGCTTTTGAAGACTCAGTCTGAAAAGGTAGGTGTGGTGGTGAGCAGTGCTGGGTAGAGTTCAGAAATGTGGCCTTAGGTTGTAGAACTGCTTGTCAGGTTGCTGGAGGCCACCGGCCAGGCCTGGAAACACCTACCATTGGCAAACATGACACTGGGGCCCCTCCTCTGTCGCAGGCTTACCTATAGCCCCCTTTAGGACCCCTGATGCCCTGTCTTGTCCCAACCACCAGTGCTGTGCAATCCCATTCTGGGACCTAGGACTTCTCAGGTGTTTTGCCATTCAGCCTCCTGCCTCGTGGGCCGTCCCCTCAGCCACCAGACTGGAGCCATGTTATCAGTTGGCCCAAGACCCCGTCTGTCACCAGTGCCCAGATTAGGGAGTCCAGGTGTGAGATGCCCCCATGGCATGTCATCACATAGCTCCAAAGCTTTCACTTGTCCACCCAGGCCCTACGCACCCAAGAAAAGGAACTGGGGGCCAGAGGGAGTCAAATTGGTAGTTGGTCGGTCCAGTGGGCACCTTTTCAAGCGAAGGCAGGTGCCAAGCCGGAGAAGGTATAAGCAGAGGGAGGTGAGTGACCTAAGGAGAACCCAGGCTCTAGGCCAGTCCTCTGGAATGGGGTCTGTATCTCCCCTAATCTCCCCTGGCCCTGCCCCCCCAGAATGGTCCTGTTTCCAGAGTTAGTCTAACTCAAATCCATATGTCAATACTTATTTTTTCTTCTCTAATACAGTTTTAAGAAGCCAAACCATTTCTTCAAGCCAGTTCTCATTCATGACATCCCCATAGGGTAGAGTAGAACTCTTCCATAGGGTTGCAGAAATTGTCCATCTTTGGAAGCTGACTGTCTCGTCTTTCTCCCAGGGAGCAGCTGCCTGGTTCGAACTGCCTACCTTGCAGTTAGCCCTAAGACTGAATCTGCTGTGCCAGCAGGTCTTCATTCTCACAACACCATAGACTACCATTCTGCATCTTGCTTCATGCCCTTTCATCTGGCATAGTGGTTACACATTGGGCTGCTAACTGCAAGGTCAGCAGTTCTAAACCACCAGCCGCTCCTTAGGAGAACTTTCTATTCCTGTAAAGTTAAGAGTCTTGGAAACCCACATGGGCAGTTCTGCCCTGTCCCTATGGACAGAGTGATAAGTCTGCACTGACAATGGCAGTGAATGAGTGTGTGTGTGTGTGTGTAGCTTTAAGTAGCAATCACTCTTAACTAGCCCCCATAGATTGGCACAGAGGACCTTTCCAACCTTAGGATGTCACAAAATGTGTTGACACCAATGAGTTGGAGCCCCGGTGGCACAGTAAACAATCAGCAACTCACTGACAGGCCTGGGGTCCAAACTAATCAGTCGCTCCACAGGAGAAGGCTGTGGCAGTCCACTTCTGTAGCTGTAGATGGACAGCCTTGAAACCCTGTGGGGACAGTTCTGCAGTGTCGACCAGGTTGCCATGAGTCGGAATCAACTCAATGGTGGTGGGCACTTAAATTTGGGGTCAGCTGTCATAGTTTCTTAGTGCTGCTATATTATCACAAGGAGGTGGCCAAAGAACAGAAATGTATATTCTCACAGTTTAAACAAATCACTGCCATCGAGTCGGTATGGACTCCTAGTGACCCTGTAGGACAGGATAGGACTGCCGCTGTGGGTTTCTGAGCCTACAGCTGATGGTTTCGAACTGCGGCCCTTGGAGGTAGCAGCCCAATAACCAGGATGCCACCAGGGTTCCAGTGTCACAGTTTAGGAGCCAGAAGTTCAAATTCAGGGCAGCTCTCTACCTGTCTGTCGGCTCTGAAGGAAGATTTCTTTTTCTTAAAGTTTATTTTGTGGCTGAGAAAGTACACAAGACAGACATCATGGGAACTGTTTCTGTATGTGCGAGTTAGACCTTGGTTTACATTGTTCAAACTGCAGCCCGGCTCATGCTCCTTTGTGGAGCCCCTTCCCTGTCATCACAAAATCACTGCTCCTGAAGTTCTAGTGTCTCTGGTTGCTGCTCTCTATCTGATGCCATGTGTTGTCGTTGTTGTTCGATGCCACCGAGCTGGTTCCGACGCATAGCCATCTTAGGCACAGCAGAAGGAAACACCGCCTGGCCCTGAGCCCGCCTCACCATTGTTCCTGTACCCGAGTCCACTGTTGCGGCCAGAAAGCCTTCCTCATTGTCACCCTCTTCTTCACCAAGCAGGATGCCCTTCTGCAGGGACTGGTCTCTCCTGACAGCATGGCCAAAGTAGACGAGACAAAGTTTCGCCATCATTGCCTCTAAGGAGCATTTTTTAAAATCATTTTATTGGGGGCTCTTAACAACTCTTGTTACAATCCATGCATCAATTGTACCAGGCATATTTGTACATATGTTGCCATCGTTCTTTTCTAGACATTTGCTTTCCATTGAGCCCTTGGGATCAGCTCCTCTTTTTTCCCCTCCCTCCAACTCCCCACTACACTCCACCCCCCGAAACCCTCTAAGGAGAATTCTACCTGTACTTCTTCCAAGACAGATTTGTTTGTTCTTCTGGCAGGCCATAGTACTTTCTTCTTTTTTAAAAATCATTTTATTGGGGGCTCACACAACTCATCACAATCCATACATCCATTGTGTCAAGCACATTTGTACATTTGTTGCCATCATTTTCAAAAACAGTTTCTTTCTACTTGAGCCCTTGGTATTAGCTTCTCATTTTTTCTCCTCCATCCCCCACCCTCCCTCCCTTATGAACCCTTGATAATTTATAAATTATTATTTTCTCATGTCTTACACTGACCAATGTCTCCCTTCATCCACTTTTCTGTTGTCCATCCCCCTGGGAGGGGGTTATAGCTAGATTATTGTGATCGGCTCCCCCTATCATGCCCCCCCCCTTCCCCTTACCGTCTTTGTATTGCTACTCTCATTATTGGACCTGAGGGGTTTATCTGTCCTGGATTTCCTGTGTTTCCAGATCTTCGCTCTACCCATGTACATGCTCTGGTCTAGCTGGATTTATAAGGTAGAATTGGGGTCATGATAGTGAGGGGGAGGAAGCATTAAAGAACTAGAGGGAAGTTGTGTGTTTCATCGGTGCTATACTGCACCCTGACTGGCTCATTTCCTCCCCGCGACCCTTCTGTAAGGGGATGTCCAGTTGACTACAGATGGGCTCTGGGCCTCCACTCCACACTCCCCCTCGTTCACATCGATATAATTTTTTTGTTCTGGGTCTTTGAGCCATAGTACTTTCAATATTCTGAGCCAGCACCATAATTCAAATGCATCCATTTAGACACCATAAAGTTTTTGTAAAAAAGAGCACCATGTTCAAGGGAGACCTTTTATGCTATAAACTACGCAGTTGTTCGGTTGTAGGCGACTCCTAAAATGACTCCAGGGAATATTTATGTTTTAAAGTTTAAAAATTATCTCAGGACCTAGTTTCAGGGGTTCTTACAACCTCCACTTCTCCAGAATCCATGAGCATTTGAACATATGTTGGGCATTTTCTCCCTCTCGGTCAGGATTCTTTATGGTACCTTTGATCAAAATGTTCAATAATAGTAGCCAGACACCTTCTAGTTCTGGTCTCAAGACAAAGGAGGCAATTGTTCATGGAGGCAACTAGATACACATCCTATACCTCCTCCTATTCCTGTCTCCTCCTCTTCCTCTATTGCTCCAGGCTAATAGAGACCAATGTCTGTGCCTTGGGTGCTTGCTCACAAGTTTTCAAGCACCTGGGCATTGTGCAACTAACAAGGAGGTGGGACAGAAGCACAACACACATCACTAAGCCTGTTAACTGGGGTGTTCCATGAAACCCTAACCCTGAACCTTTACCAAGGAACTTAATCCCATGAGATGTTTGGTTGCATATCAATCGCCTCAGCATCTGCTCTGTCATGACTGTAAACATATGTAGCACACAACTCTTGCCAACTCAACTTGTACAGGTTGCAGTGAATTATTTTATATTAGTTGATATGGCCCTTTTAGCCGTAATCTTTCTAATGCCTAACCAATTACTGGGTAGAACTATGCA